TCTTCCACAAAGAAAGTTCTAAGAGAACTTAGGAGTAACATCAACTGACAAACTGGATTGAAAGCAGCCTTCTTCCATGCGACTGCACGAAATGAGAATTTTCTTGGGCACGAGTATTTCAAACAAAAATCACTGAAGCATACATACTTGAAACACTCATTCTGTCTCAAATGCATGCGTAGGATTTCTCCAAATGCTTTCCAGAATTCATAATGTAACCATACAATAGTGATTCACCAGAATAGACAGTTCTGAGAATTGGCAAAATACTATTTTGCAGTCTTGCTATAGAGAGGGAAGACAGCTCTGCAGGAAACAAAACTGACTAAAAGCACCAAAAAAAAAAAAAAAAGGAAAACCCAAACCCAAACATACAGAACTATAGAAATCAAACCCCACTACCCCACCATTAGGTCATGCTGGTTTTCAGGAACATCTAGCCACCAACTTCAGGGTGACCATTAGCACACTGATTTAAGAGAGGGATGAGCTCTTGCAAAAAAAATTAAAAATTGTTCAACATAACGTTACTGGCATTGATTTTGAAAATGAATTATCAAACCCTTCTTGAATTCTCACATACTGCTTATTCCTGTAAGAAATGGGTGGTTTTTATTTTGTAAAACGTTCCCATCACAACACATCTAAGGCTATCTTCCCTAACCAAACAGTCACGCCAAGCAGCTCAAGCACACTTGCAGGAAACCTAATTTATTATACATGCCAGATTGCAGCTGTAGACATCTCTCCAAGAGCTTGAAGTGCAGAACTGTCATTCTTTGGCACCACCTTTCAGAGGTCAACTAAATCATGTTAAAATTAGATTTGCTGTAAGATTGTTTGAGAGGTTTTGAAGTATTCCTTTAGCCAGCAATAACGGGTTCGCTGAGAGCTAAGCAGCGGGAGGCAGCCTGAGACTTGAGAGTACTTTCAGCTGGGGGAGGGTGTGAAAAACAACCCCCAGCATTTCTCAAAACCAGTGCAATGAACCCACGTTTTGTGGGAGTATCAAACCTGTATTTCTGCATAAGACACGTACTACATATTTAGCAAAACTACTACTGCACTCCTCCAAATAATAAAAAAATTACAAGTTACATTCCACTTACATGAGTGACAATCACTTGACATTTCACAAATTATATTCTTTTAGCATCCAGCTACAGCATACTTCTATTTTTTCCCCAGTGTTTCTGAATTTGAAACAAGAAAGTTTAAAGGTTGCTTAACCAAAGAGAACCTACAACCACCCAAGAATCTCCACACACTAAGTTCCAACTCCTGCCTTAATGCTGACCCTCCACAGAATGGTATCAGACAGTGTGACACAAATACAGAACAGCTATATGTTATAAAAGAGTTGAAAGTCCCAAAGTGGTTACTGAAAGCAGCACAAGGAAAGCCTTCTGCTGTGCTACGTGAGATTACTTAACCACACCACCTCCTCCTCATCAGTTTGCTCCATTGGACACACATGAAACTTTCACGAGCTTCTGAAACTTCTGACGCAAAGATTGTCACTGCCATTAATTCAAACTTGACATGAGGAGACATTTCTTTTTAAGAAGGTAGTTTTTTAATTTGGTAAAGAAAACATTTTTTTCCTCTCGTGAACAGAAAAAAAAATATTGGTTAAATGTGCAGGAAATTATTTGCCTTAATTGTTTTTTTAATGGTTTTACAACTCAATTAGCAAAATAATATGCCATGTGCTCAAGGTAAGAAAAGACCATACGATGAGGTAAGAAAAAGTACATGGCACATCACAGCACTTAGCCAAAAGTAAAGGAGACCTGCCACAATGGCAACTCTGCTGACAACTACTAGAAATTAACAATAAAGAATCTAGAAAAAATACCAGAACATGAAATCACTTGGTAAAACATCTGTAGTTTTAAAAGGTGTTTGTGAAATTCTACTCAATTGCTACTAAAAAAAATGCACAGTATTATTTTGCAAAATATTATTTGATCCCTCCTTGAGCTATTGCAAGATACAACAATGACAGAGAAGAAGTTTAAAAATAAAATATAAAAACATAAAAAGGGACAGAGCCTACGTGCATTGAATTTCCATAATATTGCTACATTCCAGGAACCATACCCATCCAATCTGGCTGCTTCTACTTTCACACAACAGTCAGCAGCAACCTCCACGCACAAAACCAACTAAAGCAGAACAGGGAGACTCAACCCTGCAAAACAAAACCTGAAGAAGCCGACAAAGTCACCTCTGAAGGCACTCCTAAATCAGTAGCGAAGAGCAGAAGCACCAAATGTGAGATAAAAGAGTGAAGATCCATAACTGAAGTAGGAATAGTACACACTCTAAATATAGACTCTATCCCGCACACAGATGTAACCTCATTGACATGAGTAATCCCACTGCAGTCGCTGGCACCATTCACAGGACTGAAGCTACACAAACACTTGGGGCTCTGCAAAATCTGTGTTAAGATTTTAATGTGGACTCTAACTATTGCCTTCTGCAACCGCGCAAGGCAAAGCCCTCCAAATCTCTTAACCAACTACACGCTTCTTCTCTATCAATGCCTGATCAACAGGATCGTCCACTAAATGTCTCAGAGAAGAAAATCTACTGAATGAAACCTGGAAAATTGCTGCCAACAGAAATCACCAAGCGTTTAAGATCTGCACGCCCTGATGGCTACATGACTTATTGTTGTTTTAGGGAGACAATAATTCAGGGAGCTTTGATGGGTTTTGTTCAGAATTTCAATCTAAATATTTTTTTAAACTGAAGAGAAAAACATGAACAAGAATGGTTTTAGAAGAAAAAAGTGATGACAATGCTTGCATTTCTGTAAGAGCAGAGATCTTCACCCACCAACCTAATTTCATGTGCTTATTTGTAACAACACTGAAAAAAATCACTTGGAAACTTGATCTCATTTGTTGAATTTGCTGGTGCTGGCTAATGCATATCCACACATTCAGCTGTAATAACTGAATCTGTTCATCAAGTTAAAAGATTGCTTTTTTTTTTTTTTTTTTTTTTTTTTGCTATAGTTGGTTATAAAATGTACATATTATTTATATCATGGTTGATTTTTGTAAAACTTTCCTACTTTTTGTCAGTAAAGCCCCAGCCACGTTGCAGGAAGACTTTATTCCTACAAGTCAGAATATCCAAACAAAACCGACAACCTTAAAAAAAGACTGCTGAAAGAAATACATGCAATTTGGAGACCAAAAACTCTCTCCAGCTAGAAGTCGTTCATTTCACAGCTCACTTCTTTGTTTTGACTTTTACCACTAAGTGCAACTGTTGATGATCAGAACTAGAGGGAAGAGGAAAGCAGTCAGTCACAGTACAGTGACTAAAGAAGCTGCTGAAAATATAGACAATCCTCCAACTTTATCAGCGAGTTCTGTCACAAAGCAAATATTCTGATATACTCCTTGTCAGTAAATAACATAAACAGGTACGCCCAGCTTCTCTATAAAAGCAGGGCACATTAGTTCTGTACTACTACCTACCAGGATCAGGCGTAACATCAAAAAGTTATGCTAAGCCCCACATGCCAGTGACTCAACAAAGTAACTTCTTTTTAACACACGCATCGGTGCATGCTTACACACATACACAAACACACACTTCCTGGCAAACCTCATGCAGCTTTCCCCTGTCTCTCATTTCTCAACACCATTAACAGTCCCGTAGTTGTTATTCTGTCCTAAGCTTTAATTGAACCAACTGTCAAAACACTGCAAGCTTTATGGCAGAATAAATGAATAATTGGGCTCATTCCCATCTGCAATCCAAGGGATGGCACGGCATACCCACGGCCCTACAGAACACGCACGGAAGTTACCTGCGCCCGACGTTTACAGCAACAACTGGCACTCCGCCACCTAAGTCTCATAATCGTACGACTTACAGCCTCTTTCACGGCGTAGAGACTCAAATAAATTCTCGACGAGGAAACTCTCCGGAAGACACAAACGAATACCACCCCCCTTCCGGAGCTAACCGGCGTCGTGGACGAAGCCGCGTAACCTTCCACTCCTTGCCGAGGCCTCTGCCTTGAAAACAAAGAGCTGCCGGCCGCCCCCCGCCCCGCGCGGATTCCCCGCACCGCGGTGCCTCAGGGCAGGCAGCTGGCGCCCGCGGGGCTCCGTTCCGCACCGCCCACCGGCGGCGGACCCGCAGCGCCTCTCCCGGTACCCGGCGCCTCCCGGCCCGCCGACGGCCGCCCGCCCCCAGCGGGCCCGCGGCCGGCCCGGCCCGGCGTCCCCCCCGCCCCCACGGCTGACAGGGCGCGAGGCCGTGAGGCCTGCGGAGGCCGTCCCCGGCGCGGGCGGCCTACTGGCCCCGCGGGGCCGGTACTCACGGGGAAGGCTCGGATCCGCATCTTGGTGTCCTTCCGGCTGCCCGTCCCCTTGCTCAGGTTCGACATCTTCGGGGCCGGCGTTGGCGGCGCCCCCCTGGGGAGGGGCGCGGAGGACGCGCAGGGGGCGGCGGGGCCGGGCGGGAGAGGCCGCTGGCGATCTTCGCCGCGCGCTGCGGGCCCCGGGACTGCGCGGAGGGCCGGCCGGACCGCAGGGTGGTGGGGGGAGGCGGGAGCGGCGGAAGGCGAGGCGGCGGCGGCGGCGCGGGGCCCTCGCTCCGGCGGCGGCTCTTCCTTCACCCGCCTCCTCCGCCGCGATGGCGGACAAACATCGCTCAGTGCGCAGGGCCGAGCGCCCCCCTGCTTCCTCCTCTTCCCTTCCCCTTCCTCTCGCTTCCTCCCCTTCCCGTCCCGTCCCACCGCCCAGGGCGCAGCGACGAGGGACGGATCCGGCCGCGGCGGCGGCGGGCGGGGGCGGCGGGAGGGCCGCGGGGCGGGGCGCCGCCGCGGGGCGGGGGGAGGGGCGCGCCTCGCCGCTCTCGCGAGACTTCCGTCAATCTCGCGAGACCTTCCGACGAGCCGTCACCGCCGCGGCGCGGAGCGGGTGGAGGAAGCGCGCGGCGCCGATTGGCGGGGAGCCGCGGCGGTGGGCGGAGCTTCCCGCGAGGGCCCGGCAGCGCCCGGTGCCGGCGTCGCGGAGCAGGTACGAGGTACGGCGTCATGGGGCCGCGGGGCTTCCTCGGACTGCCCCAGCGGGACCGTGCACGGCTCTCGGCTCTCGTACGGGAAAGGTTCGCGACGCTTGGGGGGCTGAGGCCGGGCAGCCCGTCCCGCGGTGCCCGCGCCGACCTCCGCTCCCGCACGGAGCGGCACGCGGTGCTCGGCCGCTCTGCCGCCTTTGATGTCTCCAATTCTGCCCCTCTGAGTCATGTCACCCGTGGGCGTTTCCCTCCGCGGAGACGCAGAGTGGCGTGACGCAAGGCATTTATTTGTGTTTATGTTTTGTTTTGCCGTCACGATGCGTGCCTGAGAGATGAGAGTGCCACCTGAGGCGATGCTGACACGGGCGCGGAGCTAAATATAGGCCTCTCGGGAAAGGGCAGGTGCTGCAGGAGGGAAGGGTGTTTAGCAAGTGCTAGGGCCTGTAAGCCGGCAGCAATACAGCTCCCCGAAAGATAGGCTGGTCAACAGGATCATAATGCATCAGGGCCTGACTGCGGGTAGGGGATGGAGCTTAAAAGCTGGGTCTAGAGATCACTGGCTTGACGTCCCCGAGGATGCACACCACGCAGCCGGGAAGAGAATCTTTTCTAGGTGACTTCTAGGACTGGATAGCAGAGCATCCCGCTGCACGTTCTTCCTGCAGCTCTGCTTACCTCTCCCATCACAGCTCCCCTCCAGGAGCCTCTGCAGCACATGCCCTCAGGACACCAGAGAACTTCTCTGAGCTACTTTACCTTCTGAAAGAGCAACTGCGTCCCTTTTGTCTCTGTGTTTGTTACAACCATTTCCCACTGGGGCTATAAACATGCTGGTACACTTTAATCTCATCAGAATTAAGTATATGCCTCGAGAAGATATTATATAACAGCAGCACAATAAACAATGATTGCAGCAGCACTATGCAATGCCAGTGAGTGCTTAAAATTACAGCATAGTCAATGCAGATCAAACAGATGAGATGAGAAGGGGAAGATTGCCGTTTGCTAATACAAAGAGCACAGCTTCCACATTGTTTCCACATCATTTCAATATTTGTTTTGCTCGTGTTTCCTTTTCAAAATTAGGACATTTTCAGACACCTTCTTTTTCTTTTCCCCTTTGTAAGACAGCTAGGCCAAGTAATTTGAAAAGTTTTGGTTTTGACTTTTGTAAAAAGAGCTTGAAAAACTAAAATGAAACGTAAATTTGTACTGGAATGCAGCTTTCAATCTGAAAATGTTACAAGAGTACTATGCAAAAAATTCAGTGTTGTTTTCAAAAACCAAAGCTTTTCTTAAGAACTGTTTTTGAGGAACTGGCATGTCTTCTTCCAATAAAGTTAAAAAAAAAGAAAAAAGAAAAAGAACTGCTGAAAACCATCCCTATGTGCTTTTCCTGTATCCATTGCAGCAGATTGCTCCGGATTAACTTCTCCCATTATTGCTTTTGTGCTTCCTCTCATACTGGTTTTATGCCTATGGCAGCCTAGGAACACTAGCTTCTTCCTTTTTCTTGATCCAAGTTGCTTGTTGTTTGTGAGTATTTTAATCTAAAAGTTTGAAAAGCACCCTTAGTTGCTGTTGGTTTAGGCTCAATATGCTGAATAAAAATAAAAATATTCATACTTAAATTCTCATGTCAAGTAGTTTTATTTTACACTGTGAGCTTACAGATACAGCACCTTATCACAAGTATTGCTAGTGCTAACCTTATTATTAAAAGCTGAAATTGCAAGAGACTTGTTTTTGTGTGGATTTATGATCCAGGGGGGATATGTGCTGTATAGAAATCCACCCACACCTCTTTCCTTCGTGTCTGAGGTCTTCTCTGACTGCACAGGGTGGAAGCAACTTTTGTAGTACAAAGCTTCTACTTCCATTCATAGTGTACAAAATGAAGTTTAGCTAAAAGTTAAGGCTTTAAGCTTACACAGATGACTAATTTAGAGGTTCATTAAGTGCTTATAATGTTAATTCTTGGTAGGTCAAAGCCAGAAACAAGACAGATGGGTGGAAGACATTAACATAGGAAGAAGTAGCCGCCCTATTGCTTAAACAGATCATCTCAGCTATCTTGCCTGCAGATCTTCTGTGTCTTGTTATTCCTGCAGCCAAGTAACGGTTTGTGTGGGGAGGAATGGGCTCGCTTCTTGAAAGTTCAGGGTTTTTGTGTTACAACAGCCTTACACACATTTTCTGCTAGTGTCAACCACATACAACTATGAGGTATAAGGGCCCTCAGAACGACTTATATGGAACAGAGAAGAAATCAGTAAAGCAGCCATTTACTCTTTTTTTTCTTTTTTTTTTCCTGAGGTCATATCAGTCCTTCTCTGCTTTTAGATATCACTGATATCACTAAATATCTTCACCTTAATAAGATGTCACCATCTTTCCATAGCATGGCAAGGATGACCCTTCTCATTGACATGTTTATCTTGAAGGTGGCACAAATCTTTAATTACTTAAATTCTATCTTTATAATCTGATTCAGCACTCACCTTAGTCATGCGAAGAGCAGTAGAAATTTTGGAAGAAAGGTGAGGAGCGCATTACATGAGAATCAATCTTAATTTACCTTCTCATAATGAGGACTTTAAAACAAGGGCATGGCTTTTGTTTAAGATACAGAAAAATATTCTCTGTACATCTGAGGGAATGCTATGTATTTCACATTGTGATCTTTTTCTCATTAAGGCTTGATTGTGCTCCACCGAAGTCAGGATGTTTTGGAAGTAAATATCACTTTCAAGGAATCATACATGCACAATTCCCCTTACTCCTACAACTGTCAGCAATATTTGACTATTAAAATAAACAAGGAGAAAAAAAAAAAAAAAAAGATTTACATTGCAGCAGGAAACAGAATGACCCAGTCCTGCTCCACAGAGAGCCCAAATGGCTCACTGCAAATACAGGGGCAGATGTTTTAGGGTTTGACCTCTTTCTGTAAGGTCCCATTGCAGAAAAAAAAGGAACAAAACAGCTTTTGCATGTTGTGGGAAATACAGCAAGTGTGTTCTCTTTAAAGCCAGAATTGGGGGAGGGCTGTTGGTTTTTTTTGGTTTTTTTTTTTTGGTTTTTTTTTTCTGTACATGACTGCACACTTTGCATGTGATATCTGCTTTCAGATTTGTATGAATATGTGATGCAGTAACCATAACTATAAAATAGTCTCTTCACTTTCCTTATCTTCCCCATTGGGTGATACAATTAAAAAAAAATCATTCTTTTTATCACAACTTCTACAACCTAAGAAAAAATGTATATATTTTTAATTCCACAGAGATAGGCACCAGCAAAAGAGGCATCCAAAGAGTGAAGCACAGGGCAGATTTGAATTGAGTGTGTGGTGAATTCTGCCAGAAGTAGTTCTGCCAAATGCAGAATCTTATTCAAAATCACTGAAAGAACAACAAAGCTCAGGACAACCAGGTAAATGTATGCTTTTAGTGTCCTGTCTCTGTTCCTCTGCAGATCACAATAATGTCTTGCTGACTAACTTTGTGCGCACAGGAGCTGTGTTGGCCCAGTCCCCAACCCACAGCTAGCTGATGCTTCCACCTGTGGTGTGCAGTCTGAGCTGTGCAAAAGGAAGACAGGCAGCAAAAGCTTGTTTTGCTTGCTCATTCCTTACAACTTTTGACTAGGCTGTGTTTAAACAAAATTTCTGTTGCATTTGAATGATACCACAAATAAACATTAAAATATGACAGCATAAACAGCTCAACAGTTCCAAAATCAAAACAGTCTGAAATACTTCCAAACATTCTCACAAGCAGGAAGGAAATGAGACTCTGTGGCACTGTCCAAGCCCTGCTCTATCCATCAGCAACCTGACTCAGCAGACAGAAGCCCTGCTGGTGTGCCCATCCCACAGCCCCACTCCTTGTCTGAGCCTTGCTGGCTCTGGTTGGTGCAAGCAGGCTGCCTGTGCTCTGCATACAGAGCCTGGCAGGAGATGTGCTGAGGCTGCTGCAATGAGTGCGTCGTGTAGTGGCACATTTCAGAAACAGGTCTAACCAGACAATGTACATAATAACAAAAATTAATGCTGTGCAACCAGTGCTGGCTTCCCTTGCAGTACCTGACCCACTTCAAGGTTGATGGAATAGTACATGGAATAATAATGAAGTCCTTAACAGACTGATTCAAGTCTCTGTTCAAGTGCAAACTTATGCCTGTAATGCATGCCTGTGACTGTCATCTTGCACAAGATGACTGCAAAATACCCTGGAAGACTGATGGCCTGTAATTCCCAGCACTACAGCTTCTCCTACAGCAGCAGCTGCTGCAATTACTGTACAGACTGTTTCTCTTGTACTCAGCCTTGGTCTCTGTCAAACAAAGACTGCAGAAGTGCAGTGTGACTGTGTGAAAGCCTGGCATCCTTGCTGCTCTGCTACTACCACACTGAGAAATGGCAGACTCTTGTGCTAGTTCCATTTTCTAGCTTTGAGCCTCACTGTCAGTAGAGAGTTTATACAGGCAGTGTGGTTTGGTCAGAACAAGACCTGTGTGCTCACATTACACACACACAAAATAAAAAATGTCAATGCTTCAGCTGTTGCAACCAATAGGGAAAGCTGCAATGGTGGTAAAACAAGTGGTTCAGGTGCAGACATTTTCCTACCTGGTAATGCAATGTCAGAGAGGAACAAATGTGTATACAATGTGTCAGAAAATGGCCAGAAAGAGGCAGATGCTTCAAACTACTGGAGGCTAATTTTCTGAGAAAATGTGTTTGTTAGGAGACAAATAAGCACTGTGCTCCACCCCAGGTGGAAATAAGAGATCACACTGTAGCACCATCATGCACCAAGACTCCAAGGTTAAGAGAGGAATCATCCTGGTGCATCAAACACCTGCAGGGAAAGTGGCTTCTGTGAGTGCTGCCATTGAAATCAATTAGGAAAAGACTGCAAGACAAAATGATTGGACACTGAAGCTAGATTAAAATCATTTCAGCACTGAAGGTAATTATTCCTTAAAACCATTTACCAAGGGATGTGACAGATCCTTATTCACCCTGTCAGCTGAAGCTTGGTATCTTGCTGAATAGCAAGCCAGAATCCAAACAGAGCAAGTTTTGTCAGGATGGACTGAGCTGCTTTCTGCATAGCAGGAGCTCTGATCACCAAGGTGCTCCCATCAGCTGTACCATCACAGCAGCCCACCTGCAGCAGGCAGGCAGGCAGTGGGTAGGCCCTGAATAGGCAGCAGGTAGGCTGTTCAGCTGCTCAGTGGCACACAGTGCCAGCAGGGACACTTCTCCAGGTGCCTGGCAGATCTGCTTCTTGTGGGAACTTAGTGCCAGCTCAGTTTCCTTGGGAGTGAAGGAAGTTGCTTTGAGAGTTGAGAGGAAAGCCTGTTATCACGTTTTGGCAGTCATGCTTGCCAGAGATTACCATGCTTCTGGCCAGTACCAACTTTCATGCCTCAGCTACACTGATGCTTCCTGTTAGTTAAGTGACAGACTTGGTCGGCCTGCATTCTTGAAATGCCTGTATGTTTGTGGCCATTTCACACTCTGGTATAAACTCTAGGTTTCTCACATGGAAATTTTCTCCTCTTAAACACGTGCATTGTTTTAAAAGTTACTTAATCACAGCTAAGTGTCTACTCAGATGCAGTTTGTATTCTTTCCAGATCCTTTGCACTGCCACACAAAGCCTTAGGTAGCAAGGTGAATGATCTTTAGTCTAGGTTCACCTATGTACTGGAGAAGCAGCTGGGCCTGTGTAAGAGATGACAGGCAGACATTTCATCACAGCAGCCATTCAGCCAGCCCTATTGAACAGTGAAGATGGTACTCACTGATCCTGTTGCCTTTGAAACACGTGAGGAGTGAGTGCCCAGGTGATTTGTTTTGGACACCTGAGCTATACCAGGAAGAGGGTAATTTCCATTTTAAGGATGGGAACGCACGTCTTTGAACTCCACGAGGCCATCTCTACAATGGCCACATGACTGTAGCCTCAGAAAATACTCATTATTTTCAGGGCTGCCAGTAAACATCCTCTTCCAGACCTGGCTCTGCAGGCTAACGATCCTGGGACTGGAATTGTCACTCCTGGAAATCAGGCCTCTTTTTGCAGCTCTGCAGGCTGGAATTATGCTGCTCTTTCCCAAATCTGCCCTGGACAAAGCACGCTGCTGGGCACAAGCCCACATTTGTCAGTTCTTTGAACTAACCCAGCTGACCTTGCCTGAAGCAGAGTATTGTGCACTTATTCCCTGGACACACACACATTTTTGGCAGAGCTGTGCAGGTGGTAGGTAGCTCAGCTATGGTGAAAATGCAGAACTAGAGGGCGAGGGAGCAAGGCTTTCAAAGTCAAAGAGGCTTGCAAACTGAATACTCACAAGTGATCTCTTAAGTCCTTAGGTTGGCTGCCCAATGCAACTGTCTGGTTTTTCAGTTCTGCATAATAAACATCCCTGAAAATCACAACTGTCCTTCAGCCTTTACACAGCTTTCAATTCAACTTCAAGCTTGAGTTCAATGCAAATAGTGACCTGTTTAATGGATTTTATATAATGACAATAAATTTAGACACTATTCTTCTTCAAAGCAGACAATTATTTGTAATATCTTTACTAGACTATTATCTAAGGGCCAACTAACAATTTTCATAGCCAGCACCAGACAAGCACAAAAAATTATAGACAGCCTTTTCATGTGAACAAGTTTGTAAATGATGTTGATAAGGTAGGTTACAGGGAAGGTGTGGCAGGAAGGAAGGTGTGTTTGCAGGACTAAGATTGTGGTTCTCAGATTTTCAGTCTGAAAAGAGTCCTAAAGCAGCCCATCTCTCTAACCAGTCATGCCATGGAATGCAATTAAGGATAAGCTTTTGATGTCAACGAGGTATTTGTTTTACCTTCAGGAAATACCGAAATAAACACTGTCTTGGTGAGAGGACATAGTATGACAATGCCTGGTAAAAGATATACTCAAAGGTAATTAGAAGACAAAGGACAGAAAAAACAAAATAGGATGAAGAACTATATACACTAGAGTGCAAATCTACATCTATGCATGACTGCAGTATCAAGATAGGCATACTACGTCTAGCAAAATCTTCCCAATAGAAATGTAGTGTATATCAACTAAGGTTTGTTACTAATGTACTTTATCCAAGCCTGATGTGCTGAAAAGATATTTGGACAACAGTAATAAGTTTTGCAGTGGTACTCGGAATGGCAGTCAATTTCTTAGCATCTCTTTCTGACCTAAATTCTTTCTGAGGACTGAAATCTGTTGTGGCCAGACCTCAATGCATACTTGGCTCCACTTACCTGGCTAGAGGTTATTTTATTCATGTCATTATTAAAGTCACTACTTAGATTTAAAATGCTTTTAAAGAGTTTGCAGATTCTGCCCATATAGCATAAGCCAAGAAATATTCTTCAAATGAGGCATACAGGTTGCACCCAGCACTCCTGAAAATCATTTGTATTGCACATATTTATGATCTGCTAAATTTAAACAAATAGCAAAATTGGTACCATAGTAAAATGATATGAATTTATAAAATGCCTCTCTTTTAATATTGATAGAGAATACTAGTAGTAAATTTAAGACAATGTAAGACAATAAGAATGATTTTTGAAATATAATAATCTCCTTTTCAGTTCAAAATGATCCTGCTATGTCTAACTGGGGGTGGAGGAATACAGAATTCTACAAGTTACTTGCCTTTAATCTCCTTTTCTATTTTTCTGGCTCTTCTAAATGATGAGTTATAACAGTTACAGACGAGCGTGTGCTATCAGCAGAGACCTTTGCCAACCAATAATATAGATTCAGTTACATGATTCATTACTTTCTATTGGCTTCAGGATTTTAGTATTAAAGAACGTGAAAATTATGAAATAATCATAATATATTGGGATTTTCAAAATGATGCAATTTCACTTTTTCATCAACATTACTTAACATTTCCTTCAAGTTTGCTTTGGAAGTCATCATAACAGACATCTCTGACATCTCCAATATGCAGGATGCCTTTGTGTATTCACATATATTAGAAATACCTTCTATTCATTTGCCTGTGATGGAGGATGTTTGTCACTAGGGCTCCAGCCTGCACTCCCTGAGTCACAGAATGTACTATGTGTGGTTAGGAAGTGCAGGCTTGGTGCTGGTGCCTGCCAGGAGCAGTACCCAGATGGAACCGTGGGCACCAGCAGCTGGGCTCTCCCAGGCTCCCTCAGGCCTCGGTTTGCTTTACTGAAGACATCCGTGAATTCTCCTCCTCAAAGATTTCCCATCTTATTTTGCTATTTTTTAAGCCAAGTAGGCATCTTAGCAGAAAAGGAATTTGACAAACATATGCATAAATGAAAAACACACGGCATAAATGTTAACTGCAAGCTTAGTCTCCAGCACCAGATTGTTCAGGAAAATAACGGCAAGAAAATTCCAAGGTGGTCCCACAGTGTTTCAGAAATAATAGATGTTCCTATTGTAGCCATTTCACTGCTGAAATCCTGCAATTTAGGAATTCTTAGACACTGAACAACAGCTCAGCAAAGCCTGCTTGGTTTGCAAATTTCTTAAAACCAGGAGTGCCAAAGATTTTTTTTGCTGCCAAATTACTTGATGTCAGCCAAATGAAAAGGTGTAAATCCTTTTCTCTTGCGCACTCAGTTCCTGTAGCAGTTCTCAGGACCTGACAGAGATTGAAATTACCTGCTATTAGCAACAAGAAAAAGTATGAGGCAGAATGCCAACTTCTAAATTAAACAAACAAAAATCCTTTTCTAGCTAGCTTTAAAGACAAGTATATTTCTTTCACACCTAGTGCTCAATACACAGTCAAGTTTAAGCGAGCAGCTGGAAAAGTACCAAAGACATATATACTTACATGCATTTTTGAACACATCCCAGAGATCTCTGAAGACATCCCTCTCTCCATCTCTGAGCCAGCTGGAATACTGGGAGTTGGGAAGATTTTTTTATCAGAGTGGAAAGGCCTAAGGATCGTTGCACAAGTCCCATCAGCATCATGCTGGCACAGTTGTCTTTCAAGAAACACATCTAGAGAATTTTGTAACTAAATTCTCTGCTTAATTTTATTGTAGATTTTCACTCAAGAATATTGATATGTTTTTTGTTTTGTTTTGTTTGATTTTTAGATTTGCTTTTACACTTTGGGACTCCTCTAACTTCTTCAGGAAATTATTCTAGTGAACAGAAGTCCAAAAAAGCCTTTTCTCAAATGCATCCATTATCGTTAATAACACATTCCAAACAGTTCTTCACTATGAGTAAGAAAACAACAGATAAATGAGCTCTTTTCTGAAAGAGGGAGAAATGACTAAAAATGACTTGTTTATTGCAGTTTTCCGTAACATAAGTGTGCACCATATGCAGGAACTGGGGTGTTTCATTGTACGCTGTGGTCCAGTAAATATAATGCTGGTCTTATTAAACAGTAATGTATGTTGTTTACTGACAAGAAAAAATGTACATGTCTGTAAGGAGTACGATGATATTCCAGACTTGCTTCATAGTATTTGTAAGAAAGAACCCATAAAGAAGAGAGGAACTTCAAAGTCCAGCTCTTCAAACCATCTGCCAAATTCCTAAACCTTGCTAGAAAGCGAGGTTGGTTCCAAAGGGGGCTAAAGAGATGAAAAAAAATGACATAGTTAAATAGATGCAATTCTTTCTAATATTAACAGTCTTCCAGGCTTCTATGAATCTCCTGCTAAACCTTATGGGGTGATACATAAGCCTACGCTAGAAAACTGCTTCTCTAAGTTCAGAAGGACATGCTGATTCACTGGCTCCCTAAATCTTCATATTTGGTGCTTTTATGCTTTGGCATTCAGTCCTACACCAGCTGTAGAAGTACGTGACAGGACATGCTGGATAACTCTGATTTGCCACCACTTGGCATGATGTTGATATGCTCCTGTCCCCTGCCAGTGGTGAGAGGCTGCTTAGACCTCAGTCAATTCACTCTGGTACTTCTTCCTATTCAAAGGTGAGAGTGAAGAGGAGCTTGCCTCTCTTCCTTTGGTGGAAGTGCTGTTGAAAAGCCACATATTACTATAGTGCTCCACATACAGACAGATCAGCAACAGGAAGAAAAATAAATACAGACGCCATCCTACGAGCCCTTGCCCACAGCTTGTTCAGAAAATACCTCAGACATTCTGCAAAACTCTGAACAGTGCCTTGCTCAGAATATACCCATCCAGTTTTAATATACTTCAGTGGTAAGATTCTTCTCAGACAGAAGCTCGAGCTCCTGTCTTAGAAAGGTTAACAGAAACAGTACAGAAATGCTTTTTTACCATCAAGATGTCCAAGATTTTCTAGTCATAATTCAATAGAGCCTAAAACACTTGAACTCTTTCTTCATGTCGTTTTACATTTTTCCTTTTTTTCCTAGATATTCGTATCAAAAAAGGAATACCAGCCATCTTCCCCTGCAGAGAAGTCTATACCATACCAACCATTTTCTTATGTAGTTATACCAAGCTCTTTATGCATGTGTTAGCATTAGCTTGTGAAAATATTTTTTGGACTTTCCCTTCTGATCAAAACTCTTTGCATCTACTTCTGTGACTTCCTCTGTGTGCAGCTGTGTCAGACATCAAGGTCTTTGAAACCGTCACGGTGCTGAACAGACCAGGCAAGGCAGGCTGCTGTCACTGCTCTATAGTTGTTACTTGCACCAGACGTCTTCCTTTAAAAAAATATGCATATTTATGTGCACATATTTATATACACACATACATGCACATATATTTATTCTCAGTAGCCTTAGTTTGCTTAACAACAATACATATTTTAAGATACACCTCATCATTCATAATAACATATGTATTACCAAGGCTTATTTGTGAAGGCCTTTTAAACTTGAAACTTAAACATTTAATTAAAACTTACTGTGCTTTTCAGGCCTGCTTGCATGGGGCCAAGCTGGAGGTAGAGCTTCAGAGCTCAAGTCTCCTTTCTACAGCAGTAAGGAAAAATGGTGCCTCTCTTCAGATGACAGAAATTTAAGCATTAGAGCAGAATTTTCCTCACAGTATTTTCTCTTTGGTATTATGTGGTAGGTGAAATGCAGAGGATTTTGCTCTCTGTTTTAATGACGACTCGTGGCAACAGCAGAATTTTCATTCAGGGATTTCTCAGGGCCATAGGAATGACTTGGCTTGAAGGACTGTGCGTCCAAACACACAAATTACCCAATAAAATCTATTATTTTCCTCATGCTCAACACTGCTAGCTCTATGAATCAAAAGCTCTGTTGGCTAATCCCATATCTTAATTATAATTTAGTGACAGGTATGGATTTGAAGGATTTTTCGGGGTTAATTTGACCGTGTAGTTTTCAGGTGCTGGAAAGATGTTCTAGCAATCCTACCTCATTTTCCCCTTGTTAAAGTGTTGCGCAAGTGTTGTGCTTGCAGTACTCAAGAAAATGTCACGGTGATATGAATAATCCTGAATGCAGGACAGCTTGTTCAGTTACCTAATACACAGTGTTTGTCAGAGCAGCACAGAGCTGGGCACCCTGCTCTGTGGCAGCAGCCTGCTGCTCAGGAACAGGCATTGATCTGGAGTCAGAATACTCCACTGCAAGTCCCTCTCCTAACCCTCAAGGAGAAGGAACCAAGCCATATAACTGAGGATGTTAGTCTGTATTAGAAAAGTGGCCTCAAACCTGTTTAATAACTCCTTCACTTTAGGTTTGGAAGCAGGCAATGAAACCTTCAATGCCCATACTTAAACACGAGGGGAGAGAAGACATACTGCCTTATTGCACTAAGACGCCCCAGCAAGTTGCATGCCTGAAACTCCATTATGGATTTTGGCATCTGAATGCTTCCACAGGATAAAATGAGGAATGAAACTATTGGCTTAGAGGCAGCAAAGGAAATCTGGTAAGCAAAGGAAACCAATGCAATGCAGAGAGTGTTGTATTAATGACCAATCCTTTGAAAGAATTGTTGCTACAGACTGGGGTTGGCTTTACCTGAGTTTCTACTTTCAGCTGTAGTTAAGATTATAATAACTAGCCTATACACGTTACTGGACAGCAGGATTACTATTGTTTTTAATGTATTACACCATCAGACAAGCTGTTGGGAGAGAACAGCTGGACAAGTTGGAGCTAGCCTCCTCTCAATTAGCTGTTAATGATTCTGTTTCTCAGTAATGAACTCGCATCCCTCCAGTTTTACATCCCTACTAGTTTATTTCAGCTAACAAAACAAGATCCAGAGTACGTATCTGTTGACTTGGAGCACCAGAGCTGTATGCTGAATCATCTCCCCTACAGCCTCACTGTACACTGCTCTACTTTTCTGTTTTCCCTTAGGAAAATGTAGGCAACACCATTTACCTACCTTACAAGTATCACTTTTACAAGGCTTTGAAGACATGGTACAGCTCAGTCTAGTAACTGATGATTACTTTAAACAGAGCACAGGCCCATCAAGCAGAAATAAATAAACATTTTAAAACAAATTAACAGTCTAGTTTTAACCAATTTATCATAAGCGTTTCTATTGGGAAGTCATTGGTAAAGGACTGAAAAGATACCTGGAACTTAGGGCTCCTCACCTGCCTGGCAATGATTTCTAGCTGCTCGCGTATAATGCACAGTGTGTAGCTCAGATTTTCCCAGTCAAGGTTCATTTGGAGCTGATTTGTTTGCATTGCAGTGCTTTATAAATAGCAGGCATCCCCTTTCCCAGAATGCTATTCTATCAAAGTAGGGAAAAAGGAGAAAAGAAAGGGGGAAACTCGCCAAGCAGCAACAAAGGAGCATACAGAGCCACCGAGGGGCTTCAGGCACTGCTGTGCAGGCAGTAAAGAGGCAAAATTACTCAAAAAGATGTACAATCCTGCACGCTTGGAAACAATTACATGCACACAAATTACAGCATGCTTTCTGTCCACACAAACAAATTACAATGCCTTTGCTGTCATCTCCATATTATTCCATGCAGCCAAAGATAGCATTGCTCCTCTGAATTGTCATTTGTATTACAGTACAGCTCCTGTTTTACATATGCATAGCTGCTTCATCCCACTTCACTAATTCCACAGCCATATCTCAGAGTAGCTTTTGTCCCCTGTCCAGGAAAGCCCACAGCTTGGATTTCTCTTGCTTTCAGCACTAAGTGTAGCAGTCCTGGTCGGGATGATGAGCAAAGCAGGACAGTACACTGCAGCAAGGGGGCAGCTGCACTTGTGAGAGATTTTTCTAAAGCCCAATGAACTCCCCACATTTGGGCAGATTTCTGCTCTGTCTGTCATGAGGACAATGGGATTTCTAAGCAGATAACAAATCTGCACAGAAGCATGAGGTGCACACGCTGACTGGTTGGTTCTGATCCTGGAGCTGAGCACCAGCTATTTATCTTGCTTCTTGGACAGCTTTCACAATCTTTGTCAAGTTCTTTGTTGCTTCAACTAAACCGCTTCATCCGGATGGGGCAGGACTAGTTCAACTGCACTACAGAGGGGTGCAAATACAAATTCTTACTCTAAACAAAACAGCCTTTCAACAAATTACTCATTTTAAAATAAAAGAGAGACATTCAATCCCTACCCACCTCCTAAGAGCAACTACATGGAATTATTTTTGCTGAAATCAAGATGGTCCGAGTTAGGTTTCAAAACATTACGTTTGGCAAAAGTAATTATCAAAGGAAAAATCAGTCATTAGGGGAATTGCTGAAAATCTGAAATATGTAAAGCTCCACATTAGAATTAAAAGTATCAGTTGTATGTTTACCATCCAAATCAGAGCAAAACTGAGCACAAATCCAAAATCAGAACAAAGTCTGCTATTGTCCCTGAATTACCCCAGGAGGTTTTGGATAGAAACAGCATGTCCTACACAGACCAAAATGGTACAGTGCATTTTCAGGAGGTAGTCTGGACGACTAAGATTAATCTTCTTTTTTTCTTTTTACCATTGCAAAAGGTACTTCCTGTTACTGAGGATTGGTGTAATCAGCCACAACAGAAGTTGGGCCAACAATTTAAACTCTGTGGTGAATCTTTTCAAACATCTAATTGTATTTATTCTGGCTATATTTATTCTGTTTTGGGCCCATAATGGAGGACCTACTTGCATTATGATCTGAACTCATTGGGTAGAGATACATAAAGCTAGGCAGCACAACTTCAGAAAGTGCATCAGAAAGACCCGTCCTCTTGACTTCTTGGTAATATAGGGCTTTCCTTTCTCTACTCTCCACATCATCTTGACAGACTGTAGCTTTCAAGTTCATTTATCACTGATTGGATGCAGGGGGTATTTCAGGAATGAAAGGAAAATTAAGGAAATTGTAAGTAATCCTCCATCAGGACCCACCAGTGGAACAGCCACACGCCCATCACAGAGCACAGCTCACTCATCCCTACTCAGTCCTCCCAGACAGATGGTTGGAGAGTCAGGTGCTAGTTAGATCATCACCAACACCTACAGTTTCAAAAGAGAGAGATCAAAAAGGAGATTACAGTTCTAGGTGGAGACAGAAAACGTAAAGCTAAGTTGCAGTGCCTCTACTTGCTATCAGCTAGTCTATATCTGAGTTTCTTATCCTACCAACTCACCCTGCTGCAGTCAGGCAGGTCACGAATTCTTCAGGTAAGCCCTTATCCCTTGTAACAAATAAAAGTGCCATAACAACCAACCGACACTTACCACCTCCCCCTCCCTTTACAGGATGAACAGAAGTCTCATCCCAGCATACTTTAAAGGACCCACTGGCACACACTGCACAAGGACACAAGCATTTTATTCTTTCAATCTTCCTTTTCCCACAGCATTCTTTTGCACATCACTAGAAGCTAAATTTTGTCCTTAAAACTTACTTCCTTCTAGCATCTTAGCCATCCTCGCTTGAACATTTAAAAACTCGTGGCTAATAGCCTTTCTACATAACAAAGCCACTGTTTCCTTAGAACCCCTTAGCCACCCCTCTCTGCCTTTTGGTCCTCTCCTATCATCATCACAGATTTCCACCAGGATTTTCCATTAGCATTTACCACTCTCCATTAACTTATCAATTTTACCTGTCTTGCTTAAGTGAGGAAAACCTTTGTGTACCTTCCCATTTTCCTAAAATGCAATGCTGTCAAAGCTCAGGCCCAATTCTTTCTGGGGATCATGGGAGCTGTAATTTTCTGAAAACCAAGCCTGTGCCCCCCTAAAGCTATCAGCTAAAAGGGATAGCAAACTTCACCTTCTCATAGAATTGATCCAAGTATTTTTCAGGCAAAAATAACCTGTAAGCTTTTCTCATGCTGTAAGTTCTATCCCAGAAAATTTGAGCAAACATATTTCTTAATCATGACATGAGAAATGTAGGTATGTTATATATGATTTTATTGCAAAATATTACCAGGAGGAGAAAAAAAAGGAAGGAGGCTGAATGTTATATGAAGTACCAAGAAAGTATCTGTGAAAGGTGTCTCAAGGGAAAGGGTAGCCAAGGAGAGAGTTCACTAGATGAGAGAGGCTTTCAATTTGAAATAAGGCTGGATGTGATGGTGACTGGGGCAGAACTCAGACAAGAGGAAAGTAAAACCATCAGTTTAGTAAATAAGATTTGCAATTTAACAGTTGCAGGTTTGTCTCAGACCAATGACACAGGACACCTGAGTCACCTCTTAAGGACAAAACCTGTGTGTATCTAATACAACACAATGGAGTTTAGATGAATTATCCCTTCTAAAGGTAAGTTAGTAGTTTCTTACAATATCAAGTATTAGTCAAGTATTATGAGTTTGAGCACCCTCATGGTGGCAGGCTTTTCCTTTGGCCTGAGTTGTACATTCTTCAGCATGAACCTAATGCCTCTCGCTCCTCTACCACTTGAGCAACTATCAGAAAAAAACAGGTTTCATCTTCCATGGCCCCAGCAGGCAGCTGCAGTCAATGCTCAGATCCTCCCTGAGCCTTCTCAAAGCTAACCAAAGGCGCTTCTCTCATGTTGCCCTGGGATGCCATGTGCCCTGGGCCCTCCCCAGAGAAGGGGCTGTTCACAGGACTATTGCTTAGGCAATGTAAAAAAGTGCATAAAATTATTTGCCATGACTTGAGCTAGCACTGCACTGCACCCTCCCCGTGCCCTGGTTTCAGCCTAGATAGTGCCAGTGACACTGATGTTTGGTTCTTGCTGAGTGAGGTGTGTGCCCTCTGGCTGGGCCAGGCCTCTCAGCCAGGAAGAACTGCTGCCATGATGGTGTGGGGCAGGGGGTGGCCACGGGATGGGCTGAGCCAAGCTGCATACATTGCACATATCTGATTTTATCTGTTATTGTCACTTTAACATTGCTGGGGATATGTTGCAGAATTACTTTGGGTTTTTGAGCTGCGTCCTTGGAGACTTTTATTACATGGCTGATTATAGGTGACATCAACAGTACCCTACCCTTATTTTTAAAGCACAGGGCAGGACAGCTGATGGAAGAGAAATATACTACAGACTCTGCAAATACAACCTTGCTTAACAGCACAGCCTGTGCCAGATAGTATAAAACTATTTCTTCATTTGACCCAAGTACCTTGAAATCTGTAGTTACTTTTCCAAAAGAACAAGACCCCAGAAAGCAATCAGACAGCTTCATATGCTAATATGTTAAACTGCATGGCTTTGAGTACAATACAGATGTAATACCACAGCACCAAAGATTGATGAGCCTTGGCTTTTATCCATTTTTGCATTATTCTTTACTGCATTCTTCTAGTCTCCTGGATAATCATGCTGTCTGTGAGCTACAGCAGAAATGAGCCTGGCCCATGCAATCATGACAAATGATTCTTTGTAGCTTATTGCGATGATGCTAAAGCTGGAACAAATTCCATTAACCAGCAATCAGAAGCCAAAATACCAGTAATGAGCTATTTTCTATTTGGAAAACAAAGACATTGGATACCTACTGTCAAAGGTAGGAAGTGATACAAGCTACAGGCTAAAGAAAATACCCAGGGGACGTGCACAAAGACTTTAAATAGAAAGTTTTGTGAAGTGAATGTAAACACAGGGTTTGTTTCTCCTTTGTATTACACATATTTTCATTGATGCAGTCCTGATTTCCCCAGGCTCAGAAATTAATAATGCCCAGGAAGGGAAATGCCAGGGGAATACAGAGCAATTCAAGCACAGGAAGAGATTAACTACATGGGCAGCATACATGGAAAGACGAGGGAAAGGGAATGATGCCAAAGGCTATCGAGCTCTGTGAACAAATCATTCATTCCTTAAATTCCCTCCCTTTCAGTGTGTTAAAGGGCACTTGTGAATAGGTTTTGGATCTGAGCTGGTAACTTTTCTTGACAGTTTTGCAAAACTGATTTAAATACTATTGACACAGTCTTACATCTCCACCTCAGCTTAACAGTTAACCAGAGGAGGTGGGTTTTTGAAAGCCTTCTTTAGGTAAGGCCTGCACTAGTACAATTTCACTGAAGTTCAGTTAGCCTACATTGATGACATTTAAATTTTGCCTCGGGTCTTTACTAAGAATTCATATATAACTGTTGGGGTTCTTAAATACATCTATCAAAAATAGAGCCAAGCAAACAATGCAGGATCTCACATGTTCTATGTTTATTTTTATTTGTAATCGAGATTCTACATCTGCTGTCTTCATGGTTTGGTAGCACGAAGTACTGGAAGCCTACCAATACATATTTATATGACTTCTCTTTTGGTCTCTTTTGGTCAAAGGACAGATTCCTTTTCTCTTCAAGTCACTAATAAGTCACTGCAGGCTGTCTAGACTAATATGAACACATGATATCTCAACAACGAATGTGAGGCTAACTTTAAAGTAAGGATGCTAAAAAGAACAGTGTACTGGGGATCTTTAGAGACGGAGATTGCTGGCAACCACTTGGAGAAAGTATTCTGTTATTGTGGTGATATTCTGAGCTCAGACTGTAATGTTTAGAATGTGATCTCAGATGGTTACAGCAGTCCTTACACATGGCTATTCACATATGGCTCTTCACTGTAGCTAATAATTGCACGACAGAAAGAAAAAGTAGTAAAAAGGAGGATGGCCTTGCATACACAGACTAAGAAAGTCAGTGACTACATTCTCCAAGTCTGCAACCAGAATTTATAAACAGCTATATTGCCTACCTTCACTTCTCATCTAATTGAAGAAAAAAGCATATACAGTTCTTGCAGTCAGCCCATTTATTTTGCTGAACTACCTGTGCCCAAGGATGCTGCTTATTACTAGCTGGGTAGAAGTACAACAAAAGGCCAGGGAAAATTGCCTTTTGATTTTGTCAGGTATGGATGAATATCTTTTTGGCAAGGCCACAGCAGCCCATTTCTGAATTAACTGACTTTTCAACACAAAGGCAGAAGAAACATAAGATACAAGCACTCACAGACTGTCAGGAAGACTGCAGAGCTTTACAGGGGTTGCAGAACTTGGGCTGCTGTTTGGCTTCCAGACACATCACATTTAGCAATTTGTACAGGACAGGTACACTTGATCTGTACTTAACCCAGTCAGCCCATCAGCATTGGGCACTTTGGTGCTTATGGAAAGGAAAAGATGTGCATTTGTGAAGACCACTGAGGACTTCCCAAACTGAGGCATCCCATGTCCTCAGACAAGGATCAGTCGCAGAGGAAAATAACACTGTCCAATTCTGTCTGAACTTATCTCCATTTGCTCTAGTTGGTCTGGGAGGCAAGAGACCCTTTGAAACCAAAGCATCTTACTCCAACCTCTCCTTTGCATATCCTTTGCATTTACTTGTCAAAGCAGGTGGCCTTTTGCTCCAGGCCACTACGGTGGGTCAGCATGTGTCAGTATACACTGAGAAACTTGAATACACCACACCAGGAGCGATTATGTTCACAAACAGATTGAGAAAGGGAGTACTGTTGTCTTCATTTGACACAGAGTGGGCTGAGATTCAGAAGCACATAGGGTGTTCTGTCTCTTAAATATTTTATGAATTGTAGTACTGATTACGAAAAGATCCGTGCCAAAAGAATAACAAATAACAAATAATAAAAAAATCACGGCAGAAGAATATTGTAAACCTTCTATTTTGCTTTATGTTCTCTTACTTGGATGGCTTCCATAGTTCAGCTAGAGATGGGAAAGGTGATGAGGACACATCGTGGCTGTGGACTGCAAAGGGCCACCAACGACCTGCTTACGAGCAGTATGGCTTGAAAGGTCTTCCTCCAATTTTCTCCCATAATGCCAAATAAACCTGGAAAAAAATAACAGAATCAATTCACTAATCAAAGGAAGGGCTAAAGCAACAATCATTAATTCGATTCCAGTATAAATTATCTTGTGCAATACAAGTTATACAGGCATTAATTTGAACTTTGGTTAGATTTCCTGAATTGCATCTCTAAATCTTTTTGGTAGTTGCTTATCTTTGTTACAAAAAATAATCAGATTGTTTATTTAGGTGTTATGCAAACCATAAGAAAAATTAAAGATATTAAAGTATTTACTTATTTAATTTGCAAATCTCTATACTGATTCAAGTATTATAAACATAAAAATAGTAGTTTTTAAATGTAAATTGGAAGCAACAAGCAGAAATACACAGTTCTTACAGGATTTAGCATTCATCTCTCATTTTATACAGCTTTATCTTCTTGATTTGTCACTGCAAGTGTCACTTAGTTGCACTCACGTTAGCTACAAGTTTTTATGTGGGCAAAATTTGCACAGACAAAAAAATAATCTATAATCATACAGCAAGTTACATTTGTACTGATGGCAATAACAGATGTGTGCTCAGATTATTTGTGGTTCCTATTTGTGACTGTGACCGAGCAGCCAGCTTGTCCTTCAGGTAAGTGAAGCGAAGCGAAGGGTGCCCACACTGTGATGGGGGAAGCTGTGTGCTGACACCACCAGCGGCTCCTGGGGCCACCCAGGGAAGCAGAAGGAGATCCCACCTGCCGATCATGGGGCTGTGGGTGAGACTTTCTGCCCCTGTGGATGATGGGCAGCTCTCCTGGACATTTTTCCTTGAAGACCCATTCAAGCAGATGGATGCAACTCTTGAAAACAGAACGAAACAAAACACCTTTTCCCTTTCGTGAGTGTGTAAGAGCAAAAATACTGGTGCACAGGAGAAGCAGAAGGGGGCTCAGGCTGAGCTGCACAAGGGCTGGGCAGCACCCACCTCTGGGCCATGATGTGGTGCACTACAGGTGCCTCAGCACAGCCAACAGGCATCCCGTCTGCATCTCATCTGATGCTGAAAAGCATCAGCTCTCACGGGCACACATTTACATAAATATTTTGTATTACCTGGGAAATGCAGAGGGCTTTGTGTACACACTGGACTACGTGAAGGCTTAGCTAGCCCTCTGCGGCACAGCTGTAGGCATGCATCAAGCTTTTATCATTTCTCCCAAGCCCAACTCCAGGCACTGTTTGGCTGGAGACCGATTTTGAGAAAATCTCTGCTTGATTGACCAGAGAAGCCCCACGAGAGCTGTGAGGTGGAAAGAGAGGTCAGGAAAAGGACTGTCCTCATCAAAAAGGCATCACCAAAGCTCAGTGCAAGGTTACCTGCTGCGCGATGTGCCACCTGCAGGGCAGAGCGACGGAGCGATGCTCCGTGCCACAGAGCTCACGGCAGGGCGCTCCCACCGCACACAGCCTCGCGAACGGACGCCCCGCCGCCTCGCACCTTCCCCAAAAGCTGTCGGCCACGGGCCTGCCTCGCCGCCTCAAGCAGTAGGGCAGGGCCTCGCCGTGCCACCGCCCCCGGGCCGCCTCGGGGGCCGGCGGCGCCGGGAGGGGAGGCGGCCCCCGGCGGCGGCGCTGGGCGGCAGGAGGGCCGCCTCGGCGGGCGGCGGTGCCGCGGTGCCCGGCGCCGGGAGGGCGGTGGCGCGATGGTGAGCGGGCCCGGGGATACGGAGGGGGTCGGGGCGGCCGGCTGCCTCTCGGCGGGCAGGAGCGGCGGCTGCGGACGGGTGTGGGGTCGTTGGGCGGTCAGCCCGTTCTGCTTGCGGGCTGCCGGGCGACATCTGCGAAGTAGCGTGCGAGACGTCTGCTCCGTTCCGCTTCACGCTTGTAGGAGGCCAAGATAACGGTTATGCTTTTTACTGAGAGGTGCAGTGCCTGTCAAACGTTATTTGGAGTCTTAAATGCGGTGGGAGGGCACGTTTGGGCTGCAGTTGGAAAATCGGTGTGTCTTTTCCGTGTTCCTACTTGCTTTTGCAGTATGGATTTATAAATACATGCCTGAAGTCTTTGGTGGTTGATAAGTACGGTGAAGAAATATGGGAAAAATTAAGGTAAGGTGTTTGCAATAAATGCAGTGCAATGTATTGAAAGAAATTGTTCACAAATTTAGCAGAAGATTCTAATTCCTTACTGATAAATGGCAGCTGATGTGTATCTCAAATAGTTATTAGAGGCAGGTAACAGAGCAAAAGCAAAAGTTCTGGTATTAATTTGTTCAAATTAATTTGTTACACTACGTAATTAAGCATGACATTTTGTCTTACGGACAATTGTGTGATAGACTCACTGTGACAAAAATCTGAAAGTAATTACACAGAAGAGCTGTCATTCTCAATAAGAAGTCAGTTTCATTCCAGTACCTTCTGGAAAACAGCTAAATATATAATCTTTTCTGCTTTCGTCATTACTGTATGAGCATTCTGGCATTTTCCAAGAGCTAAAGATATATAAATGATACTTAGATATCCACAAAAAATAGCCACCGAAGCCTGTATAGAAATTCAGTTTTGGTCAGGACTGTGGAGACCCAACAGCTTGCTAATGTGGTCCTATTGAGCAACAAGCAAGTAGAGCAGGAGACAAGCTAACACACTAATTGCTCCAGTACCTCCACATTAGGAGTTGGACTCAATGATCCTTTATGGGTTCCTTCCAACTCGGGATATCCTGTGATTGTATGGTGCCCTAATCCTTGAAAGAATTTGTCATAATGCATTAACGTGAATTAGCAGAAGTGTGGAGGCAGATACACTCTTAAACCATTACTGAAAGTAGTGTGTTTCAATATAATGTGTGAAGGAGTTTAAGGAATGGATGAGCTAAGTAGTGTTTAATGAATGCTGATTCAGTCATCATACTTACACCACTGAGAGAAGGATATTGTCTCTTCTGTTGTAGACTCCAGGCTGGAGTTCAGGATAGTTTCTTGACTTTTGGAGTTTACAAAGATGAGATCACAATGCAACTTGTTGACAAAGCCTGCAAAATATTAGGTATGTGTCACCACACCTTAAAAATAAACCCTCCAGATTCACTCCTGAGACTACATCCCAGATTTCCTCCTCTGCTCTTCAGGATGCTTTTCCTATGGTGCAAACATTCTGCATTCACTCTTAATCCATCTGACAGCACTACCAGAATTTCCAGGCCTTTTGTATTCATTAAGATATTATCTTGCCAGGTGTTCCTGCTGATATGGTTCTGAGAGAGTTTGGAGAGTATTTCTTTGAATTTTGTAAACGTTCAGGTTATGACCACATGCTGAGAACGCTGGGTGGAAATTTGTATGAGTTCATAGAGAACCTGGATGCATTACACAGCTACCTGTCCCTGTCTTACCAGGCAAGTTCAAGTAGTAATTACTGTGTGGGTATGGGTGTGCTCTGACAGTTTGCAACCCAAGGAACAGCATGTTGTAGGTATGAATGAGTAAGGAAGAAAGAGGCCATAAGAGCCTCTACTGTGTTCTAAAACTCATTCATCCAAAATGTTAGGACAAGTTTTTTAAAGTATTCTTTTCTGAGTAGTTCTCAAAAGTAGATATTATTTAGCATATTAACTCTACTGAATAGGAGATAACCCTTCACAGTTGAGCGTATTTAATTTTCTGTATTTTAGCTTATTCATATTACTGCTGATTTCATTAAGGCACAGGATGCTTTTGTACAATTGAAATTCACCATATTTCTTATCAAAGAAGGATACTGAAAGTTGTTCTTTTGTCTCATCAGGAGATGAATGCACCATCTTTCAGAGTAGAAAAGAATGAAGACGGGTCAATGCATTTACATTACTATTCAGATAGAAGAGGTCTGTACCATATTGTGCCAGGTAATACAGAGTACAGATCAACTGGTATGCAGTATATGTATGGACTGATCATATATTTGCAGATATACTTTTCTCAGGTTTCAGGATCTTTTTCTCAGATGAAGACTGGCCAAGAGATTCAAACCTGGTAAGGTTTATTAATCAGACAACAGACCTCTGTATTTCCCTGCCTGCCTAATCACTTGTAGCTACCACTGGCTTCTACAAGATTTGCACATGCCAACCCAGCCCTTATGTGTCTGTTGCTGCTATAGAATTCCAGTAGACTTCCTTTGGTGGAAGGAAAATTGAATTTCATGTTTGTATTGATGTTGATTGATTCTCAGTAATTCATATTCTTTAAATTACAGTGAATAGCAGTGGTAGTTTGAAAGCATATGTATAATCCTTAGATATGTACTCCTGCAGTACATGCAATTTTGTAAATCTGCTGTTGGGCCCTGCTCAAAACTGAATCTTACTCCAGCAATGGTAAGAGTTAAGATTTTTTAACTTTGGGAATCTCCACAATTCTTCTTATGCAAGGGTTAAATATCTACAAGTATGTAAGAGATAATCATATTCATTTATTTCCTAGATGTTTCTAAATGAAATATTTTTATCAATTCCCCCCCCCCCCCCCCCACCACTCCGTATCAAAATTCATTTCATATTCCTCTCGAAATACAGTTACTTGGAATTTTCATTTTGTCCAGTATTTCACTTAGTAGCTAAGAAGAAATGAGAAGACAGATATTGCATCTTCATGAAAGACTTACTTGAAAACATTCTGCACCACTCTAGAATATTCTGCAAATTCTGTTTCATATTCTACTGAAATAGATTGTTTTAACAGAATCTCTTTAGAGCCTGTACAGTTCTGGGGCTTTGGGAATTTGTATTTTTTGCTATGTATGACATTTGGTCACATTATTCAGGTATTCTTCTGAGGTTTTTCTAGTGAAAGTAAGCATTTGTTGTCAGACAAAGCAAACAAATAATAAAAAAAACTCCGGAAATATAACCTTAAAAAATATCTCATATGTACATAATCTCATCCTAGTAACACACTGGTAGTAGGAACAACATAGGTAACTACAGGCCACTTTCTTCTTCCAGTCTCATTTGGTAAAGCAGTTCCTGAAACAGTGAAATATCATTGTGAGCTTGCTGAAAGGGAAATGGAAAGATTTTGCTGTTGGCAATGTTGTGTTTTTTGTTTTGCTCTCAGGAATCATCGGTGCAGCAGCCCTGGATTTTTTTAACATTGAGATTTCAATGGAAATAGTCAATCAAATGGAAGAAGAAGAAAGAACTGGGAAAAAAGAGCATATTGTTTTTCTCGTCACTCAAAACCCTGTACTTCCATATAAAGAAAGAAATAAATTTTCTTTCTCACCTCAGTATCTTGCTGACTCTGAAAAACAAAATGATACTCGACTGAACAGTAAGGTATGTTAAGATTCATTATATCAATAAAATACGATTAAAATAATACACCCTTGAAAATCCCCTTGGATTTATTTCAACAGGATCTTGAGAAATCAGAGAATACTATTAGAGGAGGCTCGGTTTGTCCTGTCAAGAAAAGTCACTGGAAAACTATAAGAGGAATAATCACATTAGGAAAAGGTGAGAACATTCGGAGTGAGCTTGTCATTAGCTATGAGTCTTTTCAGTAAGAAAGTCAGTAAGCCTCGCTGAGTCTCCCCACCCCTCCATGTTGAAGTTACCATTTGTGTTTCCTCTTCTTCTTTTCAAGATGTTTCTGGTTAAACTTCTTTCAGTTAGGCACTGGCAATCAAAAAAAAGAAGTGCAGATAATAAGCATGCTTACTAATGACAGATACTTACATGGAATATGACCTGTCACTTTTGTCTCGTAAACAGTCTTCTGAAAAGTGTTCTGTAAAGTACCATTCTGTGGAATGCCTCATACTTCCCTGTCATGTCACATTGTCTGAGCTGATGAATTTAAGAGAGTGCTTTTTTAACCTAGTTACAGCTATTTCTTCCAACTGTAGTAAATTGCTCTGTGCTTTTTGTATTGCTGAGTTTCAAACCTGGCCGTCTCATTATAACATAGAGTCCTTTCTTGTAGAATGTAATGCTGACTGGTCTTATGAGGTGCAATGTGACTGAAATCTATACGCTTATCTTGCCACAGGTAAACTCCTGAGAGGGTTTGACCCTGTTTATCCCAAGACTCTCTGGATTGACACAAAAACATTTTGCAATGGGCTTCCTTTTCATATGGTTTTTGACAAAGAGGTAGGACAGCAACATAGTAAGGACATTTAATTTGCCTAAAGCAGATCATTCCTATGTATGCTCTCTGTACAGAGCATGTTCCTTTTTAGCATTTACAGAAATGCTTTGGATAGAGACATGAAATAAAAGTTGCTCATAATAACAGTCACTTAATTTTCTACAATAGAAATCACCTTTGACTTTATTGAGATCCCCACATATGAAACAGTCACAGTTATGCCAACAAGGTATGTTGTAGCAGTCTACCAAACACAGAACAGAATTTTCTGGGGTTTCTGGCAACTTTCCTGTCCTCTCATGTGCCAAAGACACGATCCATCCTTTAAATTGGCTTTGTATTTAACAAGCTAGTCTCCCTTCTCCCAGTTAACAATCTATGCTAAGGCTTTCATAAGACTTGCTTTGCAGCTGAAGCCCTGCATGCTTTCTGAGACTCCACAGCAGAAAAACCCAGACATCTACTACTCTTTATCTAGTAGGAACTGGACCCAAAACTTTATCTTGCTGTTTGAATCTTTCATATACATATATTCTCTAGAGCAGTGGAATTGCCTTTCCCTTTGCAGGGGCTACTGTGTGGATAGTTTCCAAATAGCCTGGGCCCCCAACAAGGTGCAGTACCTCTTGCTCCCAGTTTTGTGCAGAAATTAGCTTAACAGAGGAGTGAAGACAGAAGAGTCTGAGAACAACTGCAGAAGATAGCTGATTGCAGCCATTCGGGAACATGTTCTGGCATTGTGCTGATAGAGAATATGCCACTGTCTACATGAGCCAAAGTTTATTTTCTAACCTTTTGAGACATCCTTTCGTGATAAAATTCATGGTGTGGAATAAGGGCAACTCCTGCAGCCATTGTTGGTGGCTGGGTTAGAGTATCCCTGATGACAAGGAGTGATGGCAGACTGGACATTTCTGCAGGAATTAAAAGCTCATATATGGTCATCAGGCTAAAAGAGAATGACTGAACATTTATACAGTAATGGTTAAAAGAAGATAATCAGTGGCATCCTTTAGAAAACTAAAGGTTTTCAGGTTTTCAGTGTCACAATTATTTTCTATTTAGAATGCTGGTATCTCTGTTTTTCAGTTACATACAAGGCTGAGAGGATTCGTCTTCATATATACATGTATATTGTATCATGCCTGTAGCTGCATATAGAATGTATATAAAGTATACCTGTTTAGTTTTAGATTTTAGAAGGAGGTATTAGAAACATCTCCCTTGAACATTCTCATACAAACATAGATGCTTGCAAGAGCCATGAGAAATTAGGGCTTCCTATAGCTGCTATGGAGCTGGAGAAGCTGGGCCTGGGAGCACATGCCTCCTGTCCCCCACTCATCCTGCTGTTAATAGTTGGATAAAGAAGCTGTAGCCTCCTTTCTCTGCTTTCTTTCCCCTAAGGAGTCTACAGGTACAACATAAGTAATAAACTACTTTTAAAGAAATTGTATCGTCTGGCACTAAAATCATAAATTCCCTTTTGTCCAAAGTTACTGTGATATCAGTTATCCTTAGGGAGGAGTGCAAGGATGAAAAAAAGGGAAAAAAGTGAAAGACTGAAATGCTTATTTCTTTACAACACTAGCAAGTATACTGAAAATTACTGTGTGTGCTATCATCCTGTAAGATATTGCCATGAAACAGTGTATTTTCTTCCCTCAGTAGTATGCTTAAATGTGCTGGAATCAGCAAGATCACATTAGGCAAACACAAGTACATGCAAAATAAGAGCAGATACGATTTTTTTTTTTTTTCTTTTTAAAAATTGATACTGAACAGCACTTGGATAATAATATTCCTTTCTGGGCCCTTGGTCTTGCTATGAAGAAAACTCATTCAGAGTTTTATAGTAATAAGATAGTTTTGTACTGAGTAATAAGAGTTTGGCTAATAACATAGAAATAATCCACATGGTATTATAAGGCTGAGTGTGTATATGTATGTAAACAGTACTAAGCTGCAGCTTGGTCTGACACCAAACAGGATGTGCATTGTATCACATTGTCCGTATTCTCTTTTTAAGCTCAGAGTGAAGCAAGCTGGGGTGAGCATTCAAAAGATCGTACCTGGCCTTCAGACCATGGGCATCTGTCTGGATCACTATTTCAGTATCGTTCACCCAGAAGTACCCTTCACCATCTCTAGCATTCAGAAATTTATCAACAGCCAATTTGTTTTCCAGACCAAGAGAGAAATGATGCCAGAGTCATGGAAACAGCGGCCAATGCTAGAGCTGAGAGGTACTTCACTGTTTTCAGAAGCATAAATGCTCATATTAAATGAAGAATAATGCTGGAGTTAAACTAATGTCTTTCTGTGGACTCCCGGCTTCACATAAATTTTAGAAGTAGACTTGTTTGCAGCAAGGGGAGGATTAGATCATTCTCTTTACATAAATAGTACTTCAGAATGCTCATAGACAAACTCAAATATTACCTCATGAGATTTTGGAGGCTTTCAGTTAGTACCAGCATTCCCATTTGAAAGGCTTGGAAAGCCTTGGGACCTGTGGAATGTGGAAGAGACACAGAGCCAGCTTCTGCTCTCAGAACCATTAGGCAGAATGTGGAGATGCAGTGAGCTGTGTAAAACTGTCTGGGTCTCACCCTCCCATAGCCTGCAAATCAGCATATCCACCTGAAATAGAATCACTTTGCATTGCTAAGAATTTTCTTTGATGACAAAATTACTTCTTTGTACTTGGAACAACATTTTGAGCACAGCCAACTAGCACAGATACCGGTGCACAGATCTTGGATTACATCTCTGGCACATAAAGAAAACAGTTAAAACAATGGGTGAGGATTCCAGCAATACACAGCAAAACACATCTCTGCTGTCAGTGTGCAGTTCCAGTTCTGTCAGGGGAAGGGGAGAAAAGGGACAGAGAAAGAGGGAAGAGCTTAAAGATAAATTCCTGGTAAAATTTCTACAGCTGGAAGAAGAGAAATGTCTTCCCCTGTGACTCCGCACATTCTGATCTCTAAAGTGTGAATATATTAATTATACAGATTTACTTCATACCTTTGAAGGGAGTTATTTGGTATACTGGCTAGGTTTCAAATGCGGATAAAAATAAATTAGTTAATGGTGCTTTTTTATTATTCACATTTGCAGATTGATTTGTCTTTTTTATTTTTTTCTCTCTATTATGTTATGAAAGAGTTTACTGGTTGAAATTGTTGTAGCAACAGAGATTTTATTTTGCTCTATTTTTACTGAGAGAAATGAGGGAATGAGCGTAGAATAATTGTCCATGTAATTAACTGAAATGACAGTTGTTTTAAGTACTCTGTGACCTCAGTTTTGCTCCTTTGAACTATAGAATATGACCTAACTTTCCTTTATTTCCTATCACCTCTACGTGATGAGTGCCAAATCATGAGATTCAGAAAAAAACTAAGAGTTTAGGGAGACCTTGAAAAAAGTGTTGTTAACAAACAAGGAATTTTAGCCGCGGGTAAAATTTTACTTCCTATTATTCAGTTAGGTTTTTTAAAATAAAACACAAAACAACAACAAAAGAAACCCATAACCAAATCTCAACCCTGAAAACAAAAACCCAATCCTCCACTAAAAATCTCTTATAACTTTCAGACATATTTGTACCTGTTTATTTATGTGAGTGTTCAACTTAAAGCTGCAGCTTCTAGAAGAGAAACTTCATTGACTTTACTGGGACCACAATTTACCCACTGTGAAATTTAAGTCTTTCACTTAAATTACTTTGAATCTCTGTTTCCCAGTGTACAATGCAAGGGAAAGGAGAGATGTTGTGAGCAATTGTGATTCCTATTGAAGAGAAGGAACCCAAAACATGGTTAGGCTCTATCTTGCATTTACAATGAATGACTGCTTTCTGAGTCCTGAAATCTTGTTATTTACCTAGTACACTTCATCCATACCAACCCACTAAGTTCTAGGAAACAATTGCAGTGATGACACAGACCCTACAGAAAGCTACCATCCTTAGAAATCATTCCCTGGTATTCACATCAGTAGCACTGAACCTTACACAGAATTTCAGGGTGATGAACTCTCTTATCAGCACTTGTTTTAAACAGGCCAGATGATCTGGATGGAGTCTCTGCAGTGCATGCTCTATCTCTGCTCACCTTTACTTCGCACTTTACATGAGCTGGAGGAGCGACAGATGCATATTGCAGACATTGCACCTCATGACGTGACCAGGGATTTGATTCTTCTCAATCAGCAGCGACTGGCAGAGATGGAGCTCTCTAACCAGCTGGAGAGGAAGAAGGAAGAACTGCGGGTACTGTCAAAGCACCTGGAAGAAGAGAAGAAAAAGACTGAGGCTCTGCTCTACGCCATGCTTCCTCAACATGTAGCAAACCAGCTGAAAGAGGGGAAGCGAGTTGAGGCAGGTGAATGAACAGTATTCATTCATAAAGCATGAATCATGCGCCCAGTGTGATGGTGATAGAGAGACTGGGAACTAGCACAGCCACAAAGTCATTGCTGGGAAGTAGATTTTCTACTTAATGACACTCATGGGTAGTAAATCGGAGAACGACAGACCCTTCATTTCACTGGTAAGGTAGATTAGATTATTATTTTATTTCAAACATAACTTTGGAAGCTATTTGCCAGTATTGTTTCCTAGGAAATGAAAGGTAGCAGCTGCCCATTCGGGGACAAAATTTGGTGTTTCAACAGTAAAACGGGCTTTTGTTTTTAAAATGAGTATACAGGGACATGAGGGCTCAAAAAAGAAATACAGAAATCAGACTTTCTTAGAAAATTTTCCTAGCTTTTCTGTGCTGTCTATAAACCTGGAGTTATCATGATTCCTATTTCTCTTAAGGATAGTAAGAAAGAATATTCTTATATTCCCTTTAGTAAACACATGTATGAAATCCAGGATGAAGAGCTCTGTATTTCCTGAATGTAGGTGAGCATAGGAACATATTCAGATGTCTGAACTGTTTGAAATGATGTGTTGTAGTTTTTATATTTGAAATATTCTTATATCAACATCTTTCATATCTTAACACGTGTAAGTACTACAGCTGAAAAATCATGTGTCCTAAAACAATGACTAGAAAGAAATCCTTGCAGGAAACTGCCATGGTTATCCAGCCATTACTGTTATTTACAGCTGTTTTTTTCTGCTCGCAGGAGAATTCAAGGAATGCACCATATTGTTCAGTGATGTTGTGACCTTTACCAACATTTGTGCCCAGTGTGAGCCTATTCAGATAGTTCTCATGTTAAATTCAATGTACCTGCAGTTTGACAGACTGACCACAGTGCATGATGTATACAAGGTATGTTGTTGATTAAGACTATAGAAATAGTCTGAAATCAGACTGTTTGCTTATTTATTTATTATTATTATATATTTTTAATGCACTTAACTGCTCTTTACCCCAGCATGATTTCCTAGAAACCATAAAATACTGCATATTTATAGTGACCATATAGAGGAACAAAAAATCAAAAACATATGAAGACGTGATTAAATGTGTTGAAAATTTTGAAAAGGAGAGTAACTTCTGTCATTGGCTAGAGTCCCTTCAAAATACTGATACCAGAATTGCTGTTTTGATACATCTCTTCTCTCTCAAACACCCATCCAAGATCCTAGGATATCCCAGTTCGTGGACCAATCTGAATAATTTTCCTAGTCCCTTTATTCCAATCTCTTGTAAAGCATGTCAGTGTGTTATTAGATGTCTCCTTTGGTGGAGATAACTACACAAACAGTCAAAAGCTGGGCTTTGATTTCTTTGATTTTGATTCATGGAGATCTTACGCAATGGTATGCATTTCCTCTTGACCTCTGAGAGCACTGATTAGATCTAAACTGTGACACACATACTGTCTTCAAACTGTGAAGGAAGAATGAGAGCCCTGCACAGCACAGCACTGTTAACAACTCCAGAGCTACTTAGGTTTTAACAGCTGATCCTAATTTTGTCTGTCCCTAGCACATTAAATATTTAAGAAGGCAGAAATAGCAAAGAGTGAAATCCAAACCTCATTCATTCCTTACTGGGGCAAGACAAGCAGTTCATCCTGCAATAAATTTGTACCGGGAAATCAGAAGGATTTCTGCCTTGGCAGGGAAACTCTTTTCAATAATTGAAGCAACCAGAATATGGCCTTCAGATTTTAGAATGGATTAGCATCATGTTCTATCTAAATCATACATCTTGAGTGAATTATCTGTCGCTATAATAATCTCCTTTTGATGCTGCATACAACTCCCATTAATATTAAAGGAGGTAGCTAGAGCACAGGGAAGGAGGACAAGATGATTATTTCAGGGATCTGTGAAAGAAATGAAATACTGAAATTGATCAATGAAACTTGGCCCATGCTTATAAATGCCTGAAGTCATGAATTAATCTTGTTAAATTAAATAACCTGCCACAGCCTAAAGATAATTGGCGTATCTATTTGTGTTAGTAGCCTCTTACAGTTATTTTTATCTTGTTAGAGAAATTACTGGTATTACTGTGGTGTGCATATCTTGATAGCAAGTACAGGAACATGTTTTTCAGGACTGAACTACTGAACTGTTTTGAGTCATTATGTTAGTGATCAAGCCCAAAGATGCTCATTAGTAAGAAATCCAGTTAATCTAATTTAAGATGGTCTCTTATTTGCTGATGGTGAACGTAACAGTGAAATCTTATAAGAGCAGTTTACAAAATTTCTTGGCTGTGTAAGAGACTCTTACAATGAATCTCAAATGAATTCTGTGTTTCAAAAGGGCGTATTGCATTCCCAGCAAAATCCCTGATACGGGGACAAACCCTGAAGTATTACTCAGGTGCATTTCAGTGTGCATTTCAGGGAGACTGAACACCTGAAGTAGGACTAACCTTTCAGAATCTTTCTCACTGGCAGCACCATGTTGTGGGAGAAGATCTGATTGTAAGGAAGGATATTCACAAAGTGCTTAGTTCACACCCTGCATTCTCTGACATTGTGCCATTGGGAATTGTAGGTTTCCTAATTTCACATGAACCACTTAATGATCACCAATGGATAGACTCTCTTGATTTATTGGAACTTTTAAAAGGGAAATACACTTTTAATACCAATTGTGAACTGGAGCTAATTAATAGCATTTAACTATCAGATAACTTACTGGCTCAGGAGTTGTGCTGGAGGATAGTTCCTTACATATAAATCTGCCCTGGTGGGGTGAAAGACAAGAAGTCTGGCACTTTCCCAGCATCTCTTACTCCTTAGGGTTTCTCACAATGATATCTAAGCAGGGTCAAGTAAGCAGGGACAGAACACACTGAATTTTTTAGTTTGGAATCAAGGAATAGATCCCCATCTCAAGGAAATTCACACGTGCTAGAGCATGATTGGAAGCATGTTTTAGAAGGAAGAGGGAGTTGGTGCAGGTAAGGAGTCTCCAACAGCAAAGCACTAACCTGAAGGAGAATTATAGGCAGTGCTCATATACTTGTCCTTCTCAATTAAAGGTGGAGACAATTGGAGATGCCTATATGGTAGTAGGTGGAGTCCCTGTGCCTGTATCCACTCATGCTGAGCGAGTTGCTAACTTTGCCTTGGGGATTATAATAGCAGCTAAAGGAGTACAGAACCCAGTTTCTGGAAATCCAATCCAAGTAAGTGGTTAACACATAGACTCTGATTCTTGGGTTGGGCTTCTGGTTAATGTATTGCAGTGGGACATCAAAGAGCTCCTTTTAATTTCTCTGTGTCTGTGGTCACGTGGGTGCATTTTCCAGCAAAAGCCTTTCCCTGAGGATATTTGGTATTGTACTAGCACCCAGTGTTGTGTTAAGGTGGACTTTTAGGTGACTCAGTAGCATTAAGAAAGGTCGTAAACAACAAGTGACGTTTTTGGGGGGTGTTTTATGTCTTTGTAAAGATTAGAGTTGGGATCCATACAGGTCCTGTCTTGGCTGGAGTTGTTGGAGAAAAGATGCCTCGTTATTGCTTGTTTGGAGACACAGTGAATATAGCTTCCCGCATGGAGAGTCATGGTGTCCCAAGTAAAATTCATCTGAGCTCCAGTGCCTATCAGTGAGTAATTCTGATGAAAAATTTTCCTATTAAAAGCTGTGCTAAAAACACTGTCTTACAGATGCAGCTTTCAGATGTAGACGGCCCTGTCTTTTGTCACTGATTTATGCAGCTTACTTGTAAAGAAAAATCACTGCTTGCAAAGAACTTAGTTTTGATCATTTCAGATGTCCTTGTATATAGAGGTTGGAAAGTCTCGATCCTAGAAAGTACAAGATGAAAAAAATAGATGTGATTTTTTTTGAAAGTACCAATAGCATGATGTAAATGCTAGAAATACATATAATTTAATTTGACATCCTGCATAACCAGAGCTTCAAAATCTCTCTTATTGAGTACAATACTCTGTGGCAGAATAGTTCTATTTGCGCCTATTATGGATAAACTGTATAAATCACTGTGTTATTCATGAAGTGAGGAATTCACTTTCCCAAAGCTCTTGTCAATAAAAATTAAATACTGCATTTTCAAGAATCTTGTATATGCACAAAATATGCAGGAAGAGGTGAAAGTGAAGACGAGCTGCAGAGGAGTAGAAAAACATGGACTGGGCACCTATGAGTGGTATTAGGAAATAGGAAAGCCAGAGACTGCCTTAGCACTGGTGGGTCTTTTTGTTTGTTTGTTTTTTGCTAACCTTGAATTTTCCTCTGTCATTTTAGCTGTCTAAAATACAAAAATTTTGAGATGACAGAAAGAGGAGAAATAGAAGTGAAAGGCAAAGGAAAGATGCATACATACTTCCTCATTAGAAATAAAACTGCATGTGAGAATGAGATTATGGGAAGGCCAATAAAAGACTTAGATTCTGGCCGTGAATCTGCTCAGTCCTTTCAAGAAGACAGGGCTGAGGCAGTGCCAAGTTCTCATCAGACAGGTAGAGTCAACTTGACATATCTTTATGTCCTTAAACAAATGAATGTTAATACATTAACTACAGTAAGTGTTCTTTTCTGTTCTTTCAGCTACTCATAATCAGCCAGAGAAGGACCAGACCACAACCATTGCAATGAAGTATCTTGATGTTCCCACAGATGCACAAAACAGCCTCAAAAGAAGAAATCAAGCAAAAATTGCAGATTTAACAGGTAGTTATTTAGTTACCATCTAGAAAAGGCAACAATTACAAAGCAACTTACCGGGCTTATTCTTGCGGTTTCATTGTATTCCACTTCTGAATGTCTGTGGCTTTATTTGAGACAGGAATTCATAGCCAGTATATCTGTGTTGGGTAAACTAACCAACTAGCACATTGCTTAAGGCCAAACAAATTCACCTTCAGAGCAATCAGAACTGTTGGTCTTGCATTAGGTGGAAAGAAGCTGACGTAGCTGTCAGATTTCAGCATCAGATAATGCAAAGAACTGATAACTTTTAGACAGCTCTATGTGAGGGTAGACACAATTATTCATATGCACAACATCTCCTAGAAAAGCTACCATTATTTTATGTAGTTATGGGGAAACCCTGATCAAGCCTGAGAGAGAGAGACCTTGTTGGCTCTGCAGCCTGTCAGTCCTCAAACCAGTCTCCTGTGGGGATTAGAAGGATTTATTTCCATGCCCACTTTCTACAGTCAAAGCTCAGTCTCTACTCAAGTAACTGATACTGAGTGATGAGTTTGATGCCTTAACAGTCTAATCTAATGCAGCAAGTCTTGTAATTCTGTTTGTTTAACCCGTAGGTTTCATAAAGACTAAGAATATTGCCATTGATTGATTTCTGGGAGATGTTTTATTCCCCTCCCACCTATTTAGAAGTAGTAGTTAATCTAATATATGACAAATAGAAACCTCTGTGGTCATTAAAAATTCACACTGAAGGAGTATTTCTTTTCAGGCAAAAGTTACAATTCAAAAAGCTATGGGAGTCTCCCTGGCAACCAGCATTCAGATGATGCTCCTCATCCTCTGAACAGGGGAAGAGTCAAACCAGATACTGAAGAGCCACAAATCAGAAACGTTCGCTCCAATTTTTGCAATTTGCTCTAAGTTTCTGACTTTTTACATTAATCAGAGCATTTTTATTATTATTTAGTGCATTTTCCTGTTTTGGGACCAATTTTCTATATGAGATTCTACACCATTTTCTTAAAAAACAAAAAAGACAGAAAAGATATTTCATCACAATTTTCAGCAAAAAGAATGGAAAGTGATGTTTTTTTTAACCAATCTGCACACGTCAGACGATACTCCCAGTGGAGAATGAAACCACCACAAGATAAGTTGAAGATGCATTTTTCGGCTTCTCCCATTTCTTTGAATATCTCTACGTAAAAATGACTGTTTGGTATCTCATGCAGCAATAGGGAAAGAGGTGAGTCATGCAATTAGAAACGTTCATACTCAAGCAAGCAAGCAGTACAAGAAACATTCCCTGAAGGGACCATCTGTCTTCAGCACAGCCAACAACCTCCTTGTGTAAGGTCAGCAGAATTTGGTCTGTTCTATCTATTTAACTATGATGACAATTAATCTCCAGTGAGTCGTTTGCTGAGGAAAAGCATTCTGCAGAAAAAGTGCAGAATAGATTTCTATATAATACAGCTTATATTTTTGCCATCCTGAGGAGACAGTACTGCCTACTTTGTAGCACGTAACAATAAAAAACATAAAACAATCTATGATATTTGAGTCAGCTGTGTATGCTGTACTTAGAAGGCTTAAGAAGGAACTACACATTGTGAAATTAAGTGATACTGAATTCATCTCAACACTGAAGGCCTGTTCAAGGCCAATGAACTATCTGAGACCTTCCAACAAGCTTCAAGTTTATTTCCTATGGTCTCAGTTCAGCTAGACGAAATTAAGGCTTCAGAACTACAAAGGGAGTACATCAATGCTGAAATTAATGCTGCTAACATCACTGAAAATAACAGTGTTAAGGGTCAGCATCGCTTACCTTGTGTCAGAGGCTCCCTTGCTGAGTTACTTCCATTCTGATATATTCTTAGATTGCACCTAATCAGAAATAGCAGAGAAAAATCAGAGTTCAGCTGTCAAGGATGTAAGATAGAAGAGCAAAATATAATTGATAAAAAGACTGTGGACAGTCTGGCATATCATAAATCATCCTCTTGTTCCTGTATGTGGAGCTTGTAGTAGACGGAATGTGCTGTGTTTTGGGTGAGTTTGACATGTGATGTACCCTGCACACTGATGTACTATCTTTGTGTGTGGATTCATTGTGTTAAATATACAAACATGAGACCCATTTGAACTTCCAGCAAGAACCCAGTGGACAAGTCTATAGTGTGACTCCTCCCTTACAGCCTGGAGCATCACATTTCTGCCTCTGTCTGTGGCAGGAGCAAAGCCTTTTAAACACCAGATGGAGAAGTAAGACTGATGAAAGGAATTGCCTCCTCTCTATAGTGTAGCAAGATGAAATTTCACCTGGTTAGGTTTTGTTTTTAAATCCATTAGACAGTAGCTGTCCTGACTGGGTGCTCTGTGGCTCTATGAACAAGCAGTGCATGCAGACCAATGGAGGAGGATGTGTAGGGTGAAACTGTGCTGCTCTCCACACATTGGGTATTTCATGTGGTAGCACATACGAAATGCCTGTTAGCTTTTTGAGCACCTTACAAGTGCATCTCTCAGCTTATTTTCATCCAGAAGAGATCCATTAATGTGCTTTGAGACCACTCTACGATTTAAAATGAAGTTCAGTTAGTGAGCGTAACTAGAAATTCACTTACAAATGTATTCTGGACACTGACTTATGCACTTATGAACGCACCCTTTAAAGCTTTAGCACTTTCAGCAATAAAACTGGGCAGCGCCAGCCTGGGAGAGTGCAATTTTCTGTCTGTCAGCATTTATTAATGTTTTTACATAGATGGAGTTTTCTATCTAGACATTGTTCATTATTGTGGAGAGGTTGATGTATGCTGTAGAGTGAATATACATCTAAGCATTACTGTTAAACTGGGTACGAAGATTCGAAGCACTTGATGGTGTGCCCTCAGACATGCAATGCCTGCATTTCACCTTCAGTCTTAGCAACTCCACCCCATGTGGCACAGCTTCTGTTGTTCACGGCTTTGTATTTTCATGTTGTTACCAACCTTTAAAACAACATTCCTGAGGAAAGCCAATGCCTGATTTCTTTCTCATTCACAGTGGTGTAAATCTGCAGTAACAGTTAAGTCAGCACTATCCCACCGATTTAACTTGAAAATTGACAAAATTTTCTTGCCTTCAGCCTACAGATGCATTTAACACTGATAAAACAGAACTTGTCATTTAACAAATGACAGTGATGGACTCCATCTTTTTCTGCATTTGTGATGGCTACATAAAGCCACATAGCCCCAAACTCACGTGTTGCACAGGAGGAAACATCACAGTTGCCGGTTAATGCAGGAGGAAACTTCTTGCTGTCCCAGCTGCTCCCGCAGGCTGTACCTGCATGGCTGAATCACTTACTCTCTCTTTAGAAGGGAGAATTTTTGATTGGAAGCACTCTGTAGCCCAACAAGCCTTGCCATCAGTGACTAGGATGTGGTATATGTTAAAGAGTTTAGGTATGAATCCTCTATGAGAGGAAGACAGAAATGGTTCGTGGCTTAATTGCTGTCTGCATTACTTTGCGCAAATTTTAACACTTGCTTTGCTTATACCTGTCCTTTCTGCACTGAGCAATCTATGAATATTTAATATTGGAATGTTTTAATTGCCAGTAAGTGCACCATGGTCAGATACTTTACGCTGTACTTCAGTGCATTTGATGTGCTCAGTGGTTTCTCTGTGGCCTTTGCTACTGTCTGGTCTTCTGCTTCCCTGTCGGAGATGTGGACCTTGGTCAAATCTGAACATCTTGAACTGCTTTTAAAAATGCCTGTGCATTGTCCTGTGTTCTTAAATCTGTAGATACTGCTAAAGATGTCAATAATACAGAACTATCATTCAAAAATAAATGTTTCCATTAATGGACCGATTGTCATTTTTCAATGTCTAGTTTGATTCCTTCTTTTCCACCATTTTTAGTTCTTCTGTTCTTATGAATATAAAAAAAAAAGTTAAGACCATGACACCTCCAATAAACAAAGTTTAATTTCTTAACTATACACAGTGATATGCATTTTTGTGGCATCAGAATCAGCAGCCTGGTACAGTTAACACTGCTGTGTGCTAATACATGTGCTAACACGCAGGGACTGACCTGCACTGAACTGACACAGGAGGGGTGGGAGAGCAGAATTCGCACTGCTGCTTTGAGAAGGTTGAGGCAGACAGGATTTAAAAGTTGAGATTTTTGAAAGCCGTCTGGAGCACATGGATTTCCAAATCCCATTAAATCTGGCGTTCAAGCATGAATGTTCAAAAGCACTTGGGGTACCTTTAGAAGTCTAGAGGCCAGGTTTTCAAAGGCGCTTGTTTCTCTGTTAAGTGAAACCAGCTGGATTTAGGTACTTTACACACATCTAGTTTCTTGCAATTGAGCTTTCATTAAAACATTTAAAAAGCGTTTCCTTGTGCATGCTTTCAGAAAAGAGCTGTTCAGCAAACTTTCCTAACTGTAACCCAATTTGCTGGGAGTCTTTGATTAAAAACACTTCTAACATTACAATGCAGCTCCGTATGGAGTCAAGCTGAAAATAAAATCCACAAATGAAATAGTGGTGAAACTGAAAAGATTATTTCATTGGGAATGTATTAAAAATGTTCTGGAATATATAAAACAATTTCAAAATAAAAAAGGGACTGATATTTTTTACACAGGTATAAAACATCACTGAAAGTCAAGATGGTTTCTTTGTCTACCAGCTCTCTGCTTTCACTTTTGAAGACTCCAAAGTGTAAAAGGTAGACACTAAGACTGACAATTTGGGCAGTATTCACTCATCGGTACAGCCTGCGTGTTAAAAACATAACAAACATTTGCTTGTGGCCAAAGCAAACAGCACATGGGACACTATCCTTACTCACACTACCAGATCTATGTTATCAAGCACTCCTCATTTTTTATAAGCCATTTTATTCTTCCATTGGTTTTGCACCAGTATGCTGGATGTCTGCTAATGATTCTTGATCTGAGCTGTGTTCAGACACCATTCCTAAAACATTTGAGTCCTCTGGTTCAGAGTCCTTCCTGTTCTCTCTTGGGGTACGGTATCTCTGATGGACACCAGCTCAGAAACAGATTTGCAGTCATGTTTACATATTGATTAGCACCTTGTGCTCCTGTCGAGTTGGACCTGAAGTGGACATCAGCAGTCACAGACAAGTTTTGCAAAAGTTCGGAGTAATGTTAACTGGTTCTGTAACATCGCCTTGACTTTGCTGTGTTGGTATTGTGAAATCTGAAGTTTTAAGTACAGAAGAGACTCCCAGGTCCTTTAGCAGCTCTTCATCTTTTGCAACAAATACCTCACCTGTCAAGGGATCAGCAAACACAAGATGTGATTTGGTTTCCGCTTTTTGCAACAAACATAGCAAACCAGCTTTAACATCCTGTTTAAAGCAGTGCTGAGGTGAGGGAGCCTCGAGTCGTGTTGAGCAGAAGCTGCTTTGTGGAGGAGCTTTGCTATCATGTGGCTCCATCGCAGCATACATGCTTCCAGCCAGTTTTGTCATGGCTTCCATTTCCTTGCTGAACAACAGGGCAGTGACCCGAAACACCGTCTGGGTGAGTCTGTGAAGGCAGCCTGCCAAAGCGTTTTGCAGATAAGGAACCTGACACATAGCTATCATTTAAGGCCAATTTATCTCGAGAATCAATGGGCCTTTAAAAATTCACCAGCTCACATATCCTTTTCAGTGATGGTACTTAACTGTTTTGTGTCCTGATTTTGCAGGCTTTTGAAAGAACCTTGATTTCCAGCATAACACACATCCATTGGTAACAGGAAACTAACAGCCTTTACTTTACCCCTGGAGAAAAATGAGAAAGGATTATGAGGATCACAAATGTATAAAATGTGCACAAAACCCCCACCAGCAAGCCAAAAGTGAATGCAGGCAGCACTTGCATGATGTGTGTGGGCAGAATTTCCTGCCCTGCTGACACAGCTCACACAGCTCCCCAGGGGCCAGGCACGGTGTTGGCTGGCTGGCTGCTGGGAGCATCTGCCTTTTTCCATTAAGTCTTACAGTTCTATGCACTCCTGGCTCCTCTAGATAAATCCAAGGGGATACATCTGAATAGTAACTTCCAAAGGAAAAAATACTCATCTTACATGTGGTTATGATGTTAGAGCAAAATGTGAGAGACCTACTACTGAAAACAAATCATGAAGACCTGTTGCAGTGCAAAATGCCATCCCTATAAAAAATTATGCTTCATTAGCTTGGAGAACTCACTGCTACAAGTTATCCTGCTAGTAAAAGGCTTACCAAGATTTCTGCCTGCCTTAGCCCTCTGTGTGTAAGCGGCAATGGCCACAATTATGGCCTGAAAACATACGAAGCCTTTTATTCACACAAAAATCTCAGAGTTTCATGCTTTGAGATGTGACTTGGACTGTTGGTAAGGTGAGGTTAAAAAACAAAACAAAACAAAACAACCTCACTCCATAGTTATTTCTTCTGTTAAAGCAGCCAACAGTGCATTGACACAAGACCCTGTGCCAGATTTGGTGCAGGCCAGTGCTGCCAAGGCAGCTCTAAAGGGAATGAT